GCCGTTTAAATATTTGCCCAACATGTTTAGTGCTGTTGTGTGTTTAGTCTGTGCGAAACATATATATTTCAAATTACAATGTAATCTATATTTATATAACGTAACATAAATTGTAATTTATCGTTATTATTATGTATCGATCATGCCGAAATCACTTACTTAACCGGATCAGCCGAAAAATCATTCGGCGATTTTTATCAGGTGTTTCAGAATTTATGACAGCTATTATCATGATTTCTGGAACATCTGCTCATTACCCGAAATCTTTTTGGTCGTTCGGTAAATTACCTAACTCTCTGAAAACTACATCGCTGTCTTCGGACCTTCAATCCGGAGGCAGTGATGTAATTCCCGGAGAGTTAGGTAATTTACCGTACCAAAAAGATTTCGGGTAATGAGCAGGTGTCCCAGAAATTATGATAATAGCTGGAAAACAGCAACCGAATAGTTTTTCGGCCGATTCAATTAAGTTTGTAATTTCGGCATAACGATAATAGATTCAAATTGATATATATATATTGTGCCTCAGACTAACGCACCTCATCAGGTGAGGTGCGTAACTTATCGATCTACCATCTAAGCTACAATCTGAAGAAAGAGAGTAAAATAAATTGAATAAAGGATCTTTTACTTAGCTCTTTTTTTGTTTTTGGTTTCTTGGATCTTTTAGGCGTTTTTCTTATTGGTTCTTATTTGTAGCATTCTTTCCTTTAGCTCCAGTAGCATTCTATATCGTAATACTTTGGCTCCGTTTACCTCCAATAGCATTCTTGAAACTTCTGGTATTTTAACACCAACAGTAGCATTCTTTTACATCAAGTCTCTTCAGTACCTCCATTCTTTTCTTTAAAATTTTTTGCCTGAATTTTCATGGCATATTCTTGTTTCAATTAATATGTACTTTTTTCCCCTCTATACAGTTTTTTTTTTCCTAAATTTTCGTGGTATATTCATCTTGTCTAAGTCTTTCAATCTTCAAAAATGTTTTTTCCCTATACATATAGTTTTTTTGTGCATATTAACCGATTGGTAGGTTGCGCACCTCACATAACAGTCTACATCTGAGATGCGTCAGCTATATAGAATTTAAGATCCAGTAATAATATAAATGTTACAAAACTTTAGTACGTACATACATTACATACGTATATATCACTGTAATCAAACAGTTGTGACCGGGACACAACAACGAGACAGTTATGAATGGGATCCTTAATTTCCCCACCACTTCCGATTGGCCGTGCGTAAATCACATCTCTGATTGGACAAAGCAAACTACGCCACTCTTAGTTCAGATCTGGTGTACATAAAATTACAAGAAAAGAATCAAAGTTTTTAAAATTCTCAATAACTCAAAATTTTATTTATGAAACCGTCTTTCGGTTCTAACAAAAAGATTCCTTGCAAAATTTTAGTATGACATATGCTTTATACTGCTCTAACGATATGTTTTATTGGTTTAACGTATGTACTGGTATTGTAAGTTTCAAAGTCTGGCGAAATATGTTTCATCTAATCAAAAGTGAGATTTCTATGCATCCAATGGGGAAAATTAGTCAACTCGGATCTTACGAACGTCAATTAATACATAGGGCTTAATATTTTTTATTTTTATCACATATATGCATACAGTAGATACTACTGTACTAAAAAAAGTTTCCCATGTCTTAACCATCTAATAAATACTGTCCATTCATCCGATATAACTCACGATAAATTTTTTAAGAAAATTAAACTTTTTTATAATAATCTTCCTTAATTAATTTACTTGCTCTCCATGCGACCATAGCAGTTGGAGCGTTAGTATTACCTGCTGGAATAGTTGGAAAAATTGATGCATCAATAACCCGAAGATTTTCTGTTCCATAAACTTGAAGGCGATGATTGACACATCCTCCTTGAGATTCTGGTGCCATTTTTACTGTACCACATGCATGTAATGATGAAGCTGTCTATAAAAAGGGAAGTTAATATCAATAATTATATTCTCTTTACACTAATAATATACAGTAATAATACAATACACCTATATAAACCAAAAAAATCCGTCATACTTAGATATGCTTACCCTTTCACGAATATATTTTTCCCATTCTTTATCGCTATTCACATTATCTAGTCCAATTATTTTTACACCCCAATCAGTACTTAATGGAGGTTTTTTGAGTATTTCACATAATAATTTAAGACTACTCATCATTCTATACAAATCATCAGGTTTTTGATAGAAATTAAGAAATATTTTTGGGTGTGCAAATGGATTAGAGCTACGTAATTCCAAATGACCAACACTTGATGGAATATTAAGAGATGATAACATAGAATAAAATTCTTTTTCTTCCGTTGGATTGTTTTCAAGAATACCTTTATTCAATAAGAGTGCTCCCGCTATAAAATTATTAATTAATTATTTAAGCTTTTTGTTTATAACATTCCAAAAAATAGTATACCAAGATATTAACTTACCGTAAAGTTGAATATCAGGACGTTCATCAAGGAATTCATTTTTACTAGGAACCTTTCCTTGACTATTACCTTTGTGAAAAATTACAAAATCTACTCCAAAACCCGAATAATTCAATTTAGAAACACTTGTACTATTTGGAACAGAAACTGTGGCAGCAATGCAACATGAGGGATGATCCAACAAATTACGTCCAACTGGTAATTCTTTACGAACTTTGATATTATTTTCTTCTAAATTATTTTTTGGTCCAATTCCGGAGAGCATTAAAATCTTTTTTTAATTTTATCAAAATATAAGCCGTCAGCTTAATCATGAACAAATTGTTATTTCTCTTTAATTCTTACCCGAGGACTATTAATAGCACCACCACAAATAATAACTTCACCTTTTGGAGCAATATAAGAATTGTGAATTCTACCATTACAAAAATATCTCACTCCAATTGCAACATTCTTATCGCTCTTTTTTTCATCCCAAATAATATTTAACACGTGAGCAAAGGATTTAACATTAACTGCCACGAACTTGCCAACATTATCATCTAATGGTGGTGGATGAGGGCATCCTTGAATAAATGGTTTTGGAGGATATATTTTAACTTCTTTCAATGCATCTGTCAAAAAACCATCAGCCAATGTACAACGCTTTCCATCCTTCATCGTAAACTATTGTATTAAAATTTAAAAGAATATTAAATCATAATATATAACAATTATTATAAAACGCACCTATGCACCTATATGTTTTTATTATGTTTTTTAAAATTTTCTAAGTTTTTATAAGTTTTGTATATAAAATTTTTAACATCAATTTTTCACGTTAAAGTTAATATTAAGGTTAGGATTAGGGTTTGGGAAGGGTTTTTGGGACGTAGAACATTTTCACTTAGAATACCAGTTTTTGAGATAATGTATACATAGGTGTAAAACACCATATGTGCGTTTTAGTAAAATTCAATATATAATATGTTTAAAATTTATTTTTTCACCTACTTGATATCCTACTACTCCATTTTGTCGAACCCCATTGAAATCATTATTATAAGGAATATTAAAATCTCTTGCGACTTTAAAAGCATCTTTAGAAATATCAAATTTATCAACTGGAGAATCTTGTACATGAAGCAAACCATTGAATCCATGATAATTTTTAAATTCTTCATCTGAATTTTTACGTGCATTATTTTCAACCGCTTTGAAAGCTTTTGTTTAAATAAATGCAATGGTTTAAAAAAATTATAAATAAAATATATTATATACAAGAATTAAATGTATTTATTTAATATTAACCTTCAAGGCAGTGATGATAGTTCCAAATAATGTATTCAGGACCTTGAGCAGCCCAACTATCATAATCATCTTTATGACCTCGCCTAAAAGAAAAAAAATAGTACCATTTTTAATATAATAAATACGAAACCAAAAAAAATGCCACGATATGATTTTAATTAGCAGAAAAATCAAGTTTAAAAGTAATTGAAAATTTTTTACATATAAGCCATTGCATTCACACTACTACATCCTCCAATAACCTTGCCACGTGGATAGGGAAAACTTTTATTTAATACTTCTTCAGTAGGATCAACAGTACCAGGCATTTTTTGAACTTCAGTGAAATAACCCCAATCTGTTTCACTTGTTCGAGAAACCTATTATAATAAATCAGCATTAACTCTATGGAATAAAAAGTTAAAAAAAAAACATAATATACTGTAGTATACCGTAGAAGAGGCGCATGGTGAACGCATTATATCATTAATATGGGTATCTGATGGACCAGCTTCTAATACCAAAATATTAATGTTAGGGATATTGTAAATCAATTCTCTTGCTAAAACGCATCCAGCAGTTCCAGCTCCAATAATAATAAAATCATAAAATTCATCAGTCTTTACAAATGTTTGTTGATAATCTTGATTATAAATGCTTTCTGACCAAAGTCTACGAATTTCGACATCATCATCCAAGTCTTTGTTTAACAACATTTTGTAATCAAAAATAAGAAAAGGAAATGATTGTTTTTGAAGTTCTACCAACTGAATTCTCTAGAGAGAATAAGTCAGAATAACAATCAGTACCGGTACTGTATGCATGCCCATTTTAAACGCATGTGGGATGTCACAAAAAAAAATTTTCACCCCACGTGATCGTATTTTTATTGGATAGTCTAACACAGCGAATTTTCAATTAACGATTTTTCTTTAAAAAAAAAAATTTATCCTTTAAATCGTTTTCCAGGCAAATTTTCCTGGAAATTTCATGAATGATCAGTGATTAAGCCATCAAATTATATTTAAATCGTCAGTAGGTATGTAGTTAAATTGACGATTTAAAGGATAACGATAAGACATTTTAACCTTTTTTTTTTTTATTTATTAAAATTTTTATAATCGCATGCGAATTATACGATTCACCGACAGGTTTATTTCAGCAACAAGCTCACTATACTGACAGTACAATTCACTGACAAGTTCATTTTACCGACAGTATGTTTCACTGACAATTTTTATAAGTAACCATTTTTAATGGTTAGGGTTAGGTTGAGCGCTAGTATTGTTTTTTTTTCATGTTGGGTTAGTAATAAAAGTAACTTGTATTTGACAATTTTTTTCTTCCACAGACCGTAGGTACTATTATATAATGATTTCTACAAGTCTGTCCTAATTTGCGTTTTTTTACCGTACTACTTTATTACATACCCTGAAATAAATATCTATTACTTGTCGGTGAAACGCACTATCGGTGAAACGTACTGTCGTTAAATAAAATTGTCGGTGAATCGTACTGTCGGTGAAATAGCCTTGTCGGCGAAATGTACTGACTGTGAATCGTACTGTCGGTGAAACAATATGTAACCGACCAAAGACGTTGACCCCAACGTTGATCCAACGTTGATCTCAATGTTAACCCCAACGCTGATCTCAACGTTAACCCAACGCTGACCCCAATGTTAGTTTCTAACCTCAATGTTGACCCCAACATTGACCAAAAGAACGACGAAAAGGCCACCAAAAGAACGATGAAGAAATCACCAAAATAATGACAAGAAATCACCAAATAATAATGATAATAATAAAGTAAAGCTAAAAAAAATATGTACGACGGTGAAATGTGACCTAGCCGCAGTTATGAAAATGTGATTCAAGCCACATGAAATGCGGATTGATCGACAAAGAGAAGGCATTTAATAATACTAATCGGGGTTGGCTTGAGGCGATGTTCCATCGAGAACAATAGTAAGACGTCGCTGGTATTCACATGTAAATGAGTATGAATTGCTTATCGTTAGCCATAGATCCCCCAATACTCTAAATAGCTATATTACTTATAATGATCTTAATCGTAGTAGCAAAGCCCAATGTTGTTCATAATGTATAAAAGCTCATTGATTTCATATAACTAACGAGAGTAGATAGATAATTGTCCGGAGCGTAGCGGAGGACGATCTATGGTGTAGTGATAGACCAGATTTTGTGTGTTATCATGTCCACACCTATTTTTAGATCAGATGATCATCAAT